GGCTTGTGGTTTCACGAACGAGTACGCCTGTAGGAGGAGATGGGGTTGGCTTCTTGCTTCGCGAACGAGAAGATTGGAGACGGTGAGTCGAGAGCTTCGAATGAGAATTTTTTTTTTCCTCTGTTGCTCGAAGCCGAAGAGTCAAGAGCGGGCGTCCGATGCGAATGAGGGTTTTTTTTTTTCCTCTCTGTCGTATAAGCTTTCCCTCCTCAAATCTCTGTCGTTGGATCTAGCTAATCAACGAGGTATCTAAACCTGCCGGTTATCAGAAATCGGAACCGGTTCAGCGGTCGGACCACTGGTTCGAGCGGGTTTATCCCGGTTTTCAGCGAACCAGGTTCTCATTTAAACCATAACCGGCCGGCCGGCCGGTTCGCAGTTCAACCGGTTGAACCGGCCGGTCCGGTCCGGTTTTAAAAGCCTTGCAAAAGACCCAACCAAACCCACTAGTGGGCTGCCCAAACTGAACCGCCCAGCTCAGGCTAGACCTGAGCCAAACCGGTCCAGAAATGGACCGGTTCCGCTCAAGCCGAACGGCCCCGTCCCGCTCCGCGTCCCTGCTTTGGCGGATCGAACGGGCGCGCCGGTGCGGCGCCCGTTCCGGCTGTTTCCGCGCGCCGCGGGGTAGCCCGCCCTCCCTCTGCCGGTCGGCGTCGGCAGTGGCCCGCATCACATCCCTATCCAATATCATTTTCGGTTCTTCGAGATAAGTCAAATTTTTCTGAAGTTCAATATCTTTCTGAGGAACTTTTTGACTTTCATCAGTAACCCACTTTCTGAGCATTGATACATGAAAAATATTATGGATATCAGACATAGCTGTAGGTAGAGTCAATCTGTAAGCTACTTATCACACTCGTTCAATAATTTCAAATGGACCAATAAATCTTGGATTGAGTTTTCCACATTGGCCAAATTTAGAAACACCTTTCATTGGTCTCACTTTCAAGAATACAAAATCTCCCACTTTAAAGTCTACTACTTTATGCTTGGAATCATAATATTTCTGTTGGTGGTCGAGCCATTTTTAATCTGTCTCTAATTAATATGACTTTTTCAGTAGCTTGATCTACCAACTGTGGACCCAATAACGGCCTTTCACCAACTTCAAACCAACTCAAGGGAGTCCTATATTTTCTGCCATATAAAGCTTTATAGAGAGCCATCTTGATACTGGATTGGTAGTTATTATTGTAAGTGAATTCTATTAAAGGAATATGATCTTCCCAGCTGCCTTCAAAATTCAGAATACACAATCTTAGCAAATCTTCTAGTACCTGAATCAGTCTTTCTGATTGCCCATCTTTCTGTGAGTGAAAAACTGTACTGAACTTCAATCTCATGCCCAAACTTTCATGTGTACTTTTCCATAATTTTGATGTAAATCTTCCAATGGATTTATGGATTCCATGTAATCTGATGATTTCCTTCATAAATAACTTGGCCAATTTTTCACTGAATCAGTCTAACGAATAGGTAAGAAATGA